TTCTATGGAACCCATCTACTAGGAAACACAAGATATTGCCAAATTTGGATGCTAAAAATGCGTTTACAAGAGCATGTGGGTTTGGTTATGATAAGTCTACCGATGACTACAAGGCGGTCAGGATCTTTAGTGAGGGTCAGAACCAGAGGGGTGGGCGTGGGGGTGGTTGTTTATTCATTGAGAAGGAATTTGTGCACCAAGGATCTTCTAGAGTTTTTTTTACCTAAAGTTTCCTAAAATGGTGTATTGTATGGGTGAGATTTAATGCTAAAAAATTGATGTGACTTGTCATTAAATCTCAACAATACAACACACCACTCCAGGAAACTTTAGGGAAAAAAAAACTCTAGAGGATCCTTGCTCGAATTTGTGGAGGAGGATCGGAGACTTTCCTTATGGTATTCCTCCACATCCATTTATTTCAGGATAATTTGCAAATCAGGCTCTCCATTGGGTCTCCCATGTTGATACGGAATCGAGTTACTCTTCTTGGGTGATTGTTTCTCTTGATTTGGAGAAGGAAACGTATGGAGCAATTGTGCCATCTGATTTCGGGGATTGTGTTATTGATTTGACATTGTGTGTTTTAAAAGGATGCCTCCATGTGCTCTGCAACTTCTCGACTTGTGCTGATGTATGGGTAATGAACGAGAATGGCGAGAGAGTACCTTGGACTAAGTCGTTCACAATACCATATTCTGTAGTGTCAAGAATTTGCCACTGCACACCATTGTGCATTTCGAAAAATGGTGAAATTTTATTGAAATTTGAGAATCTGTTAGTTCTTTACAATTTGAAAGATGGTAAATTTAGGAATCCTGGAATACCTAACATGTGCAACTGTCTTCCAGTGGATACCTATGTTGAGAGCTTAGTCTCCCTTGATGGTAATAATTTGGGTTAGAGGCAAGAACAGTATCAAAAGCTCGAGAAAGATAAAATTAGTATATCTTATTATTCCTTCAACACTATATGTTTAATGCACAAAGATTTCTTTCCTTTTCTTTACATGGACAGCCTTGCTTTTATGTCTATATGTTCAAACGCAAATCAAATAAAAATAAGACACCCAAAAGATCAAATGAGTTGTAGTTCTCTCCACTCTGGAGGCGTTTACAATTGTCACATATTCATTTTCTCTCCTGAAGGTTGTCTCTTTTAAGTAAGCATACTATGCCATTCTTGTTATTTTGTCAATATCCATGCCCAATTTCAATCTATCCAGCTTTACCAGATTAGGGTTTTTTAGGGTTTCATATACTTCATGATTTGTTTTTGAACTGTGAAGGTTGTTGAAATAGCCTTGATTAGTGTGCATTGTCACACAAAATAATGCATGAGAGAGAGAGAGAGAGAGAGAGAGAGAAGGGCCTGTTTTTGTTATTTTTTCTTTTGTATCTGTCTGAAACTCTAATGGAGGTAATTGTAATTTACGTTTAATTTTACTTCTATCTTGGTATGCTTAAAAAATGGTCACCATTGCTTGTGTGAAAGTTGATGCCTAAACTTGTTTTATCTTTTGAATAGCTACAACAAAAAAAAAAAATAAAAAATTCCTGGCATTTTTGTGTTTGTGTTTCTAAGAGGTGTTTTTT